TTTCAGTAATTTCAATGCGCGCTAGTAACACGGGAAGCGCCATAAGCGGAGTTTTTAAAAAATCACACCTTCATATAAATTACGATATCTCGAAAACGAGAAGTCGGATCGACAAAAACCAAAAGCCATTTCAAAGAGGAAGCTTTACCGCTTCCAACGATGGGTCAATTATTGATAAAGCGCTAATAGTTTTGGTACTGCACGCGTCTAAAGTTTGTTATACTTTTAATATGCGTTGCTACAGCCTTCGTAAGGCGGACCATGAAAGAGAGTGGAAATTGAGAGATTACCCTTTTATGTAAATTACGATATCTCCAAAACGGAAAGTTGGATCGACATAAACCAAAAACCAATTTCTAAGAGGAGGCTTTTCCGCTGCTAACAGAAGTTTAATTATGGATAAAACACTAATAGTTTTGGAACTGCACGCGTCTAAAGTTTTAGTATTTTGAATACGCTTTACTCATTGTTCTTATACTCTAAAAAAAGGCGTGAAGTTAAATGGCGTTAAAATAACATGATAGGTTTAGTGTTAACCATTTTACAAATCCTTTATTTTCCTATGGTAATTGAAATTTTAGTTGGAAAATCCTGTATTAAAGAATAATAGGAATGGAAAAGGATTCGAACGGGGATCGGGGTACACGTTCGTCACCAGATTAGAAGTCGAAGCCTGCCACCGGAAGCTCGTCCCCCCCGCCCCAGCAGTGGAAATTGCATATCATTCGAGCCCACTTTGCGGGCCAGGTGGCTCGTTTTCCGTGGTCGAAGGCGTTCGCTGATACACGGCGTAGTCCTACTTTGTACAACCAAAATTCGCCGGCAAGATGCAAGAGGACACTGCCAGAAGGAAGAAGCAAAGGTGGCGGAGGCGTGGGCGGCATCGAGGAGGCAGGGAGGAAGGGAGGAATTCGTAATATAGAGGGCCGCTCTACGACTCCGTTGGGAGGAATTCCGGGGTACGTTTTAAATTGCTGCATCCCCAACCTCCTTGTTTATGTATGCTACCGTGTTTCTTATTCTTGTGCGGCAGCGAAGGAGAGCGCACGCTGCCCTAACTTTATGTGCACAGTGCTGGCATAAGTATGCAATCTATGCGTCGGTGTGACCGTATCCCCGTCTGCGTGACCGTACATGTGAAAGCGGTAACCTTTGTGTGCTCCGCGAGGCGTGGGTGTGCGTGTAACACAGCGCACACGCGATCGCCGCCCGCGCCTCACCCATGCATGTATTGTATGGTGAAACGTGGTCCTACGTTTTCTCTCGCCGTGTTACAACCGCTCCACGATCTGCCCGTTTTCTCCCGTGGATTCTTTTCGTGTTCCCAACCTGCTAGACTCTTTCTCCTTATTCCCGACATCCGCCAGGCCTTTCCTACCCAACCCGGTGAACTCTCACTCCCCTCCCCCACCTTCTCCTACGCTCTGTTTCTACCTTCCGGCACCAATTGCTGTAATCTATGGCCTATGCTCGTGGATTTAACCCTGGAATTGAACCACGGTGATTTGTATGGTTTATTAATATTCCACCGTATACACGGGATACAATTTACCCATTGGCCTTCATACATTTCAACAATTTTTCTCACGAGCTGATTAAATCTTATTATTCTTATTAAATTTTTTTATTCGACTGTGCACATAGAGTCTCCGTCCAGCTGTGTTTACAGTACACTACAATGCATATTTTTTGTTGCACAGATCCATTCCCTGCCCTTTCTACCCTCGATAGACTATTAAATATTCCGTCGTCTAATGCAGGGTCTGCTAAGAAGCCTTACCCGATGAGTCCCACTAGGAGGCCCAGGAGGAAACCAGCGAAGAAGCAGTGTCACAAGCTGAGATTTCGAGGGTGTTATCAACGAACAATATTTCATAATAATCATTCTTTTAGGGAGAAACTTTGAACGTTGGGAATTCCAAGATCCAACAAGGAAGAATCTTAACCCATCACGACTAGATTCAAGATTTATCTATAGGTAACACAAACCTAATTTTAATATTCTTTAAAACGTCATCAGAAAATTGCATTCAAGTAGCCAGTTCTCGGAGTGCAAAGGGTAGAGTGTTGAAGAGGAAAGGTCCCAAGAATTCCTTCCTAGGCGTGTTCAGGGTTCGCCAAGTTTCGAAGAATGGAATTTGGCGGAAGAAAAAAGGAAGAGTGGGTCGTTGGGGGGGAGGATCACCCACGTCCCGTCGTTCTAGGCGAAGCGCAGAAACGGTGTAAGCATGACGGTTAACCGGAGAGATCGAGACGCGGCAGTAAACCTACTAGGCGTAGGTTTTGATGGCAGATAGCGGTGGCGAGTCGGTGGTGGACCGAGGAGGAGGGATGGTTGGGAGATGATCGGGTCGGAGGGAAGGTTTGGATACCTTGTCGAGGATAGGCTGCCGGTGCAAGTAGGTTTAATATTTGATACCGCGGGCTGGTCATCCTGCCGAGGCGATAACACAGGCCCCGCGGGAACCTTCCGCCCAACATCCCTCGGAAAACGACTGCCGCCAAACTCGCCGGATTCCGCCCCCGCGCTTCTCGCCACCACCTCCTCCATCCTACATGCTCTATCCACTATGCCGCTACTCTGCCTTTCTGTCTTTTCCTCGCTGACCAGTGTCGCTTCTTATTTTTCTTGGAAATAAACGATCCTCCATGCCCTTTCTGCCCGATAAACAAAGTTACCTCTACTTATTCCTTCCACTTGAAAACACATTCACGCGCGACATAGAGGACTATTTAAAATACCGATCGTTCGAATCGACGTTGGTTAACCACCAACGGACGGCAGACGATCGATTATTTTCATGAATAATGCATGCACTCTTTTAGAACAAAACTGCGCGAAAGTAGCAACATGATTTCGATGGGCATATAATAGTTAAACTTGGTGGAATTGCATGTAAAACAAAGGATGGTTTACCTCTAAAAATTGCGTAATAATATCAGAATGAAACGTAAGTGGAAGATAGTTCATGAACGAATTTATAATAATAATTATCTGCAGCAAGTTTTTGTATTTTAGGAATAAAGAAGACTTAAGCTTGGAACGTGGCACCTTATACCTTGTTTATTTTGAAGAAGATGGAGATCAACGGATCCATTAGCTTACAAACACAGCACACCGTTAAAGGGGTTGAATTTTGAATCGATTCAACACTAGTTAAGCCTATTTTCATATAATAGAATAAGTTAATAGCAGTTATTCCACCTAGATGTAACACTAATATAAATATTCGTTTCAGGTTCATCCTCCGACGGGGGTTGTCGAACGAAAAGACCCAGGAGCCCTCACCGGTACCAGTTACACCTTCTTTGTTTCGAGGATCGATGGATCCATCGGAAAACACAACACACCATTGAAGGATCTCGTAAAATCTTGTGAAAGAAATGTTAATATAAGCAAGTTTTCTAAAATTCAACACTGGTTAAGCCCATTTTGTAAGTGGATAGTTGTTTCACCGAGACCAGACACTAATACGACTACCCTTTTCAGATCGATTGTCCGACGGGGTTCGTCGAACGATCCGTGAGCGAACGAAAAGTAAAAATTGCGCAAGTTGCGGTGATATGGTTGTGATTTGCGGGGGGCATCGACGGTAAATGGCGCGGCGTGGCAGCGACCTTGGTATTAAAACGAAGGACGACCGGGGCCGACCGGTTTACGACGTAGCTACTAATCCAAGAGCAGTAACGGCGGACAGCCGAGCGAGAGATTTCGCGGTGGTCGAACAAAAGCACGATGTGGGAGAAGAAATGTAGGTAGAAAACACGAGGCGGCTTCGAGAAGACAAGGTTGCGCGGGGCAAGGTTCGTACGAGGGGTGGTTCGCGCTAGAATGGTGACTGGGAAGGGTGTGGAGGTCCTGGTGGGGGTTGAAAGAAGAGAGAATTTCCGAGAGGGAGAAAAACGGAGAGACCGAGGGAGGGTAGAATGCAGGGAGGGACAAACGAGTGGTCGCGGTTAGCGACACCCACGCGAAACGCGAAGGCAAGGGCAAAGATGGCCGACGTGGATCGGATTAGGGGCGCAAGCGTGACCGTGTTAGACTCCGCCTATGCACGGTGTTACCCCTCCGTTCCAGTTGTTCTCGACTCACCCCTGTACCGAACAACCCCTCACCGGTCTGAGCACGCGCCGGTACGCGAATATTCCGGCTAGTCGCCACCCCCTACCCCTAAGTTTCCCTCTTGTTCGCGCGCTCCCGCCATCCCCCGTGGAAGAGTTCATCCGCGGAGCACTCTTCGGGCGGCCAGTCAGCGCCAAAAAGTGCACAGCTTCAGGACAAGATTCGCGTACGGTGTTCTCTCTCTCTCTGGCTAATTGCTATCGATAACATTTGCGGAATTAACCGTCGCGAACGGTTCGACCGGTGATGTGATTATTTATCCGGCCGATCAGATCCGCCGTCTTCTCGACCGGTGGACTCGTTTCGACCAGCTGCTCCTCGATAGGGAATTATTTATTCATACTGTTCCGAGCGAACGACGTGCTTTACGTTTCTTTTGTGCAGTGATTGAGGTTGCCGGATTTACCAGCCAGCCGATCGGAATGTTCGATCGCTGCGATGATTAGAACATAGAGGAGGCGAAACAGTGCGGATTAGAGGCCGTTGTGTGCGCGAATCACGTGCAACATGCGAGATCCACGATCGCTACGGTCGATCGTAGTAAAACCGGCAGACTGAGAGCTTCGACGGGGATGAGTTGTGGGCTCGTAAAATGAGAGTGTAGATGTACGACAACCCCTCACGGTGATTCCTCGATCCGTCGTGCCCGTCGGTGCATCGGAATTCCATTTAGAGCGATTTCGTGAATGAAGTGAGGTACTTTCGTTGGTCGCGAGGACATTCTCCGAGTTCTTATCGCACACAGATGCGAACCGCGAATATCCTGGTGAAGAAGAAGCGCAGCTCTAGCTGCTAGTATCGCTCGACTCTCGAGGGTCACCGGTTTTTCGCTGGTTTAGGTCTAAGCCATAGAGCTTAGACTTAGCTGGGCTGCAGGATGATGTACTCACCGGACAAGATGATGGGGAGCAAGGGACTCCACGGGGCACCGATCACTGCCCCGGGCTGTTTCCCTTCGGGAAGATACTCGCCGCCACCTTATCGTGCCGCCCCGGATCCCATGCCGCCCCCGCCGCGACGATGTATGCCAAATCCAACGGTAAATAACACCTTTTACTTCATTTTATCCCTTAACATTACCAAAACCATCGTTCCTTTCACTACCAGACTGTGGATCTTTACGCAAACTCAGATTTTTATTAGTAAAATTAACGAAATAGGAGCTTTGCAGAGGGTTGTTTCACCCTCGAAATAAATAAACATCCGCAGTCTACCCAACAAACGCGATATCGTCATTTTAACTATTTTCTTCGAACAATTTTATTTTGGAATTGTTGGGAACAATAATCCCATAAACCCCTTAATTTGTCGCGTTCAGATTCTAAATTTAACGTTACAGAACATATTAATATTATCTGTTGGCAATTTATGTTGAATTTAATATACCTTAGTTAAAAGTAAAACTTCTTTTCGTTAAACGAATCGATTCTTGTCGTTGCATTGTACCATAAATCGCGCGAAAGCCTTCGAGACGTAAACAATACATTATACATGACCAAGTTGGTGGGTTGAAGAATTGACCCAATACTTTTGGAATGTAAGGGTGGCGATATAACAGACATTGAAAGTTCGCGTCATCCATTTTCATTGGCCACAAGTTTCCCTTGTCACATGCATCACACGATCCTTGTATCCGTCGTTTATCTTACTGGCTTTGCTCACCAATAATGTCTACGATTTCCACCCCTTTCGGCGCTATTTATTTTCAGAATTTTTACTATCTAAACATTAACTCTGATTCGTAAGTATGTGCCTGCGATAATGTCACAGATTCAAGGGAAAACATTATCTGCTTCGACAACAAAATTATATGATACAATGCATATTTGAAAGAAAGCGAAGCAAGGTTAAAAAACGTAATAGAAAGAATGAGAATGTAATTGTTATATAATAATTGTGGTTGTCGAGTGTGTGAAACGAATTTGACACCCTAGAAAACCATCGATACCATCGATAGAAAGATGCAAAAGCCCAAGAGCATTCGGTTATCCGTGTCGTCGGTGATACTCGGTCCACGAAAAGTACATCGAAGGCATCTAAAAGGAATCAATCGGAGCTCAGTGTGGCTGGTAGTCCTACATCCGGTATCTTGACAGCCCCCCCCACACACACTTCACGACGTATCTTTTTTCAGATTGTGGTCCCGTATCCCTGCGCGAATCTCGAAACCATGACACACGTCGAACCGTCGATCTGTCCCACCCCTCAATCTCGCGATCTCTTTCCTCCGACTATGTCGCGGATTCCACGGTCTTTAGTTTATTCATGCGATCTAATAGGATAAAAACCGTCGCTACCAGTTGAGTGCCCAGATGAGATTACAGCCGTACTGTTACGTCCGTTAACGCGAATCCGACGCAATCGTTTCTTTCTGCGATTTTCACAGTCTTTCACGCAACGATCGTTATTTTATTCACGTCGATCTCGCTTTCTCTTTCGATTCAACTTCCGATCGGTGCTTTATCCAATGCAATCGTTACAGTTATTAACACTAAAACTACTGAAAATTATAGATACGCGAAGAAATGTATAATGCGATGATAATAAAATTAATTAGAATGATTAATTTTGATAGTCTCGGTGTTAAATGCACGAAAGAACCTCCATTCTTTGAACCAATATGCTAAAATTCAAATAAATACTTAAAAAGAATTGAACGAATAATCTGACCAAAGCCTAATCTTTTAATTGTATATTTAAATTACGAATGTTTGACGTGATAGAATACGGTGTCAATGATTCAACAGTGTAAATAATTAATTGAATAATCATCGCGTAGGGTTTTAACGACTTTGTAAAATCCCATAAAGAGTTTATTGTAGTAACGATTAAATTCGTTAATAACGTTAATCGTTCATGAGTCTAATTCGTATTCTTTGCCCATGGCGTTAATTATCCATGATAATTAATATAGTTTCGCATTACCCATTTATCGTACTGTTGGTAATTATTTATATCTCGGTGACCATCGTTTCACACGTTTCTCGCGTCGGATCTTTCGCTTGATCATCATATTAATGATGAAATTTAATAATTAACGTCGTCTTTTTTACATTATTAAATTTTCTAATCAACCTTCGCTTCGTGTTTTAAAATTCCAATGCAATTATTACTCGTATTAGTCTTTTATTTGTTTTTTAAATGTACTTCTTGTTTCTTTCTTTTTTGGGAGAAAATTACTATTTAGTAATGTTTAAAGTAAAAGTTTGCTGAAACCTGAAACGTGTCTGTCCGTTGCGTTATTATTTTTATTTGCGTTTGTAAATATTGATCGTGCCGTGACATTATCTACTTTATCTTGTGTAACTAGTTAGATGATAGTAATAGATAACATTGTATCACGATTAATATTTACAAACGCCGATACAAATAGAAATAATGAGTAATGGAGAGACGTTAGCCAAGTCGTATCGAATCGCGTGTATATCCAGCGAATTTTCCAAACTAATTTTCTCAAAAATAAAATTTCCACGCGGGTAGATAGCTAGGTAACTGTTTACATTGTTCCTGCCAAGAACAAAAGCAAAATTATTCTCGAAACATTAGTCGTAGAGTCGTTGGTACTTAATTTTACGAGACACTGTGTATTTGCTGATAATATCGAATCGAACACGCTTGAACAGCAACATTTTAGGTGCTTAACGGAAGAAAAAATCATGCGTGATTGCGGTTATTATGTCCGAACGCTTGAACTGAATATTGCGGGGAAAGAGTAACACCGGATAAGTGTAACGACTCTTCAGGGACTTGACGATGGCTATTATCGATTACTCGGCTACATTCACCACATCATCAGCTATTAACTCTTAAAAGAGAACGTTCTTTTTCCGATACAGTACCGGGAAACGGCGAAACAACGACGTTGAGAACTCGAAAAATTTTATTTTCTACACTATCGATAGTACTCGTGCTGGCATTAAGAATTTAACTCTCGTCTGGGTCTATTTGGATCGCATTATTGACACCGAGGTAGTTATTTCGGGGACACCTTGCACAGTTGTCAAATTATTTATGCAATCTAGAAATTAAGTTCTACGCGACTTTAATAACAATTTTTTATGAATAAGTAATCGATATACAATGCACATTCTGGGCCAGTATACAATGTTTGAAAATCAATGTTTTTGCAACCTTATAAATATATTGTTATTGGTATTTCAAACGTGTAACTTAATTAACTTCAAATATTATCTGAAAATAATGACTGTTGATCACTGTATCGTGTACACACAATTCGCCACTATTTGCAGTCTATTTTTAGTGTTAATGAAATAGTAATATTAATCAGAGCTTCAAGAGATTTTCATTAAAGTTGGAATAAAATTTTGTTGTATAGTTATTCGTTTTCAATATAATTGAATTTGAAACATCAGGCGCGTCTAACCATTATCTGCTATTTCTACTTACGCTGACGCTCATATTAAGTTCTATTCCACTTACATAAAAGCCGTGTGTTTTTTAATGTTCTCCGGACACGTAAATTTGTCATAATTGTTCCCAAAGCCTGCAATCGAATCATTGTCCTTTTACGAATGGTACACACGGATATATTATAAACGTTAGACGTTACAAAGGAAGGTTAAAGTACCAAAATGAAGATGAGTTAGTCAAATCACGTAGAATCAGCCTCCTCAATAATTGAAATTTCGACAGTGCTCCTTTTGTGTGTCGTAGCAAGCCTTTCTCCAAAGGCTGTTATTCTACAGATATCCTGTATCCAGTGGCCTGATTTCCAGAATTTTCGAGGAATTCAATATTTGAATACCTCGTACATTTCTACCAGAGCTAACAGAAGATCCTTGCAACCTAGTACGCCAACTGACGTCAGTTCTTGCTGCTTCTACTGTTAGATTTACGATGGACTACTCTATGTACCAGAATCTGTACATGTATGCATATTTGCTAGTCCTGTAAAATATTGACTCGCGCGAGACATTTGTTGAAATTTCCTTTTACAGAGGAAATTTCATTTCTATTGTTTCTACGATAGGCTAAACAGGGTTGTTGTTTGTAGATTTTCAGTGATTCGGATACTTGATAGTTGGATGTGTGTTGGGTAAATTGATGGAATTATCGAGTCGTAGTAAAAATGTAAGAAATAGGAGGAGATAGACGAGATGGAAATCTGTAAAGTGGCATATGCGTGAAGTGGATGGTTTCGTAGAAGGGATGGTGAGTCGACAATTAGCACCAGCAGGGCTGTTTGACAGACTGAGCTCGGACCGGTTTATTCGTATCGTGGTAGCGCACAGGCCAAAAGGGATGCACGCGTATTCATGCATTACCGTTTGTACACGGGGCTGCAGGCTACGAGATTGCATAATCGATATCTCTACAACACCTGTGCCACTCACAAGTGCGCACCTGTGTACGGGGGAGAAAGGTGAACGCGTTTGAAAAAGGTCATGCGTGGATGCTTATCATCGGCATATTTATATGCCTTCGAATCAATCACTGAAACTTCTTTACTTCGATACATTCGCCCAAATTTCCATAACTCTGCTTTTCTCCTATTTTTCATATCTTTTATTTTTAATCTCCTATATAATTGACGTTTTTCTAATTATTAAATATTGCAAATTTCAGAGTTATCATATCTCCGGGTTTCATTTTTCTCCCATTTCTAGCTCTCTAAATGCTGTCTACAATATGCATACGTATTGAATTTATTAAATCTTTATAATGTAGAGAATATTTTTGGATTATGTTGATTTTTCTCTCCGAGAGGTAAATTGTTAATGTCGGTATTGTATTTTTCCGTTAATAAGAATACAATACCGTGGGAAGGAAATAAAGGAAATAAAGGAAATTTTTCTATAAATTTCATTATTGAAAATTGGATTTTGCAAATAGAATTTTGAATGTGACCTCGTTTAACAAACTTCGAAATCCCCCATGTGTTCCATTACAAAGTTTGAAGTTCGTGTTGCTTAAAATTTAAAATGTTAGAATCCAGCGAGCGTGGGTAGTATTATACATCACTCTGATTTAAAAAATTTTGCAATATTCCTGTACAACGTCGAGTAAAACATTAAAAAG